TATCTGTACAGGAACATTTCACATTATTTTGCAATACATAATTGTACAATATGCACATCACTATCTACCACATCTGTGACATGCAACATACTTCACATGGATCAACAGCATTTGTCAGTGGAATCTACACTGATGTTCAAAACTTTAATGCCAAATTTTGAGGAGTACAACCTGCTGAATTTCTGCAGCTAGCGTGATGATCAATGTAAACAAGTGTTGTGAATATTCTGGGTGTGAAAATTCTTCCTTTGTACAAAAAACAGTAATAAAGGTACACTCAAATACACAAATATCTGAGAAAGAAGTTCCTGGGTACTTGGTGCATCATGGTAGCCAGCGCACTTTCTTCGATCATTTGGCAAGTGACTGATAAGATTCAGTAATTTTTCTGTCCCATCAAAATTTTGGCCCTAAGCTGCCATGCACTGTGCTGTACTTTTGACCTTTTTTGGTTGACTGTAATTAAAATGTGTTAAAATGAGCCATAGAATAGTCTGCAAATTATTTCTTTGTGGTATTCAATCAGCATCCCAGATTATTTTGTACCCTTACCCAGGTACACCTCCCTCCCTCAAAACAGACCAAACTTGAACCCAACAGAAAGCAAATGGATCATTCTATAAATAGGGGGCCCAAAGATGTGACATACAACTGTATTGGTGTCCCTATTACACCTGACCAATGTAATTTGAAATGGAAATTGTGGAAATATCATTATACTTATATAGTATACACTACAGTTATCTGTTTGGAAGGTAATCTGCATTACTTCATCCTTTTGGGGTATTAAAGAATGACTTCTTAACGTCCAAAATAAGTCACTGTGACAGGGCCACGAAAATACATAGTTGGACCTCAAACTGAAAGAATTTATAGCCCAACTCCTCAGCAAATAAGACCTACATGTATTCATTAGGTAGCATGATAACAGATGCAAGCAGTTAGTCACAAATCACAACTCATGCCATGAAGGTATACAACCATACATCACAGGCAAGCACGACAAGACAAAATAAAGTACAACCCCACCTTCAGCGGTCACTCCCTGATTTGCTACAATGAACCACTGAAAGAAGAAAAATGAGTGAAATTTTGGTCGCCTACAAGTATTTGTACATTTCCTAGCTGAGAGTCAAACATGCGCTCCATGTGGGCCTAAAGTTCTGTCAAGCCCCAATATAATGGTATTGGGGCAAAGTTGTGGTCGAAAGCCCTTGAGACCATGAAATGCCTCAACACAACAAGACCACTACAAAACCAATGCAAGAACTTCCAGTTTGAATTTGAATCACACCCAAGTTACTCAACTGAACTACAACAAAAGAATTCCTTTGTGCCTGTTCACTCTGTTGCTTCTTGCATCTGATCTACGTGTATCTTGTGCCGGGTACACTTCATCTCTCTAACATTATCATTCAAAACAATATGATTTAACTCCATGAGGGGGCACAAATGTATGGCACCACTGCCCCACTGGATCCACCCTTGCAACTACAACATTGACTTGAAGACTCAAAATTCCAGTCCTAAATGTATATAGCCAACAGTGTCGGTGTGAGTCTAGATACCTCCAAAATCTTTGACGTTATGGACGAACAGCTCCAGCTGGGCCACGAGGGAGCTGAAACCGGCCAGTAAGAGTGCAAAGAAGAAAAAGACCATCAAAACTCGGCCGCCATTGATCTGGTTGTACAGGACAGGCATCCTAGGAAAAGGAGATCAAACCAGGGTTGGATTCACAAAACATTTGCACCCCTTACGGTCGCAGTAAAAATTTAAAAAAACAATAAAACAGAAATGCATTTCTACAGATTCTGAGTTAATTTTTCACACAAGCAGAAAGTTACCGGCTGGCTCTTTAAATGTTTGTATTTTTTCCAGAACACACTTCTCTTTCTCTTCAAAATTACATCAAGACGACTCATAATTTGATGGTTAAAAAATTAATCAATTTGTTTTCATCAACCATGGTAACTAAAATATGAAACCCCTAACTTTATAGAAACACGCCATCCTTGAAAATGTTTGACACTTCTGATTCTGATATTATGCTACACACATTCATAAAACTTCCTCAAAGTAAATAAAACATTTTTTTACCACACAAAGGTTAGTCCTGTGTTTCCCGGTCCATTCTGTTTTAAAAGTTCAATGATTTCATCGGTGGATGACCCATTCTGGATTCCGGTTGCAAAAACAGTGGAAAAGGTCAACATTCCACAGAAGAGGCTGGCAGGAATGAAAATTCAATACAATTAATCTTGATGAAACCGCCATTGTTCCAAGTGGGCTTTTACACCGGGGTATGTTACTCTACATGAATGAGCACAATTGAGCCCCTCATCAAGAATATTAGAGTCTGAGATCAGCCCAATACTTAATAAATGTGACTGCTGTCCTGCAACTGCAGCGCTCATACAGACTCAATGGATTTGTGCACATTGAGATGAAAATTGAAACTGTCAATGTTAGGTGACAAAGTGCCCAGGTATCATCCACTCACCAATTACAGACTGTTGCTCAGGCACTGTGAACTTGCATTAAAGGAAACTGTTTCTGACTACTACATGTAGCCATGTACGTACATTCACAAACATGTGAAACTGACCACTCCACATCGAAGTGCAACAAAATTACATGTATTGTATTAGATTATGGAAGTTATTATTTTTCTCTTATTTGGTATTCCTCCATTAAGACAATGTGCACCATATGAATTATTTGTAATAGCATATGTTTCCAAGTGTGTTGTGGCAACAACTTGATTAGGCAAACACAGGACATTTACAGAAGTTTACTTAATAAATGTACATGTACTGGTACCATGCAGTAAAACAACTCACCTAATGTCTGCGGTTTCAAATACATGTAACTGATATGATTAGGCTATAGATTGAAATGGCCTTGAAAATAACTACCCACACATCAGGGCAGATGAGGTCTGCCTTTACAAGTACAATCAAGCGACCAACCTTGGATTAAATGAGAATACCAATTTTAAAAAGGTAGTGTACACAATTTACATGTACAGCAATTTTTCATAATTGGCCCAGTTGGGGGTTTGCTGTTTGCTACATGTATGAATGTACATGTATGTGTATCATTCCATAGACTTGTTTCATGTTTTTAAGTTCACTGTTATGAGAAACATTAAGAAACACACTATTCACTTTTACAGGTAACACTCACAGTGCAGCTCGTGTAATTTGTCTCGTAAAAATCCATGAGCCACTGGATGTTCCTGAGTGCCTGGACAATGCACAGGCAAGGTCGATCTGCAGAGATTAGTTATGGCCCTCCAAAATGCATTTTTTTTATACAGCTTCGAGTAGTTCTAATGGTAGGCAAATCATAGGCAAATTTACCTTCAAGTGCCAGTGTGCTCGGATTGGACCATACGTGTGCATACCACTGTCTTAAGGGGTGATGTACGTGTAGTAAGATGGCGATATATTCCTGTGAGGTACCGCTAAACTCCTTTTTCATCAAAGACACTTTCATTTAAAGCCAATCTAATTTTTTTTCATTTACCATGTTTACTGTTTGGTTGTATCAAGGGCGCATTAGTAGCTTTAATTTCAACGAATTATATTTTCCAAAGATCCATCCGGGGGAAGTATGAAATTTCTCTTCTCTCAAAAATGACAGCGCTCATGGTGGTAAGATTTCACAGATTGTCTAACACTAATATTTACTTACATGTCCTTTACAGTAAAATATTCAAGGATCAACAGTCCCATTTTGGGGATTTTGCAAATTGTGTACGCTGCCTTCAATTTTGTTATTGTACAATGCATTACAGGTAGATGTATATGTACCTGTCATGCAAGCCAATATTTGCAGTGCTGTATTAGTGTGTGTATTTGTTTTTGTAAGGCAGTAGAACAACTGCTGTCTATCGTGGGCAGAAGCAGATGAGGCTGAAATTACTACTATGTCAGAATTCCTCTGACAACACATGCAATACCAATTTTTGTTTGAACTAAAGTGGATGTGCTTAAAGCACTGCGTGTATGGCAGCGACTGTAATCTGTGGTGCACGTCAAAAGATGTCTGATCACTTGAAAACCCAGTACGCAAAGCCTTGTTTTTTTCCCTTTCCACTTGTATTCTCTAATGCAGAGATAGCAGGGGTCCACAAAAAAAGAGAGTCAAAATTGCACGCTCATGTATATCTTTACCTGATAGCATTATTACAAAGTGGCACTAGGCTGGCGTAGCGAACGATGCCGTTTTTCGCTGTCATGAAAGCAGCATACGAGACAAACAGTCCCGAGCCGGCCCCTGTGTCAAATGCATTCTGGGTAATGGCGTCAACCCACATCCGAGGCTCCTGGAACTGTGCTGTGGGTCATATTAAATTTGACCAAAGACTAAAGTTAGCATAAAAAATCATTTCAACAAATTTTATCCAATTTCTTTCCATCAAGACTATTTGAAAGAGCAGCTTTCAATTCTGTTTTTAGAATTGTTCTTTTTCAGAACCTTATACAAGATAAAGAACATGCACAGTATGTCTTGATTTCCATTTGTATTATGTCCACAGTGAAACTGTATTAGAGGGGATTTGTCTCATTCTTGACGACGAAAACAGACGCACCCCAATCTGGTGAGAACATAAATTTCAGGCCACGGCCAGCATACTCCAATGTCATGCTCCAGATGAACGTGAAGAGCAGGAGAAGAAGGAAGAGAGGAACCATGATGCAGTTGGCCAACTCGATGCTCTTGACACCCCAGGCCACCGAGACAGCCCCAAAGAGGATGGTGACAAAGTGGCACAGTACGGGCCACCAAGAATCCTGTAAGGGGAGCATGCAGCGTTGAAATGACTCAAATTAATGACTTAACTAAGTCTGACTCAACTCAACTTGAGTCCCGGCAGGTAAATGCCTCAACTCCACTCAAGTCTCTCCAAGCATATAACTTGACTTGACTGGACATCAGAAGACTTGATTGAAGTAAAAGTTAATAAGACTCAAGTCCCAAACATACATACATATAAAAGCAACTATCTTTATGAAAACAATTGTAATGACCTACATGTATGGTAAGAGTTTATATGTGCATACTGTATATTTACAAATACATGTACAATGTACAAGTAAGCTTATTAATGCATTAATGCCGTGTGCCCCACATTTATTTTGTTCCTGCAAATTGATTGTCAGAAATTGTTTTTAATATCAAGTTAAAGCTTATACCAGTGGTGTTTTCTACTTACTGATTTCATTTCAAAATCCTATTGTATTGTAGAAATATTTTCAACTTTGTTCTGTCCAATGTAAGTTTACCATGCACATTGTCATTTCGAGGTTTCCATCACCTGATTTTTTTTTTTTTTTTTTTTTCCTGTACATATCCCCCCTGTTGTCTCGTGTTTTTTTACCCTGTTCATGTCTGTTGATTGTTGATTTGTTAGCATTCTGGTCGTT